AGCAAGCAGGAGAGAGCAACTCAGTACATTTCCATTAAAGGCAAAGAGTCTTGCAGGCTCCACACATTCCCATCTGAGAGTTGAGCCAAGGAGCACAGTGGTAAAAAGGTTGTAAATATGGGAGATGAAGACAGCCCTGTGGACTCAGCAGCTCATTGACGCAGAACTAAAGAGATGTGTCTATTGTGAAGGATGCGTCCCAATACCTGTACCAGGAAAAGGTGAGAGTGATGGGAGCTTCATGGATGCAGAGAGAGCAAATAGTGGGATACATCTTTTATGGAAGAAGGGGATTGAAGAAAAGGGCCACTCACGCCTCAGCGATTGTCACAGGTCCTCTAGAAATGTGCAAGACCAACCCTGAGTAGTATAACCCACCCTCACCGCTGCTCAGGGGGTTATACTTCAGCCCTGCACCACTGAAGCCTGAGTGGCTTCTTTAAGCCTCCCATGTGAAATATGTTATGCTCATCCAATCCAGGAATAGAAACAATAACCTGTGACTTATGCAATCACAACCAGCCAGCCCAGCTCAAATATTCAGTATCGAGTGTGGAATGCTCACAGCAGCGCCCTGTTTGTGAGCAATCCATTGAGTTAAAGAAAAAAAAAGAGAGACAGAAAACCCCCAAACTGAGCAATTACAAATAATGAGGAAGTGGGAGGTAACCGCGATGAACCCCCTAAGGAGATTATTTCTAGTGGGATATTCACTCAGCTCTGGTGTTTAATTATTATTGGTGATTGGCGATTTGACACTAAAACAGGCTAATGTTGCAAAAGCCACCAGACCACGTGGGGACTGTGCATCAGCAACTGGATGATTGTGTGTTGCTAATGGTGAAGCAGCGTCTTTCACAAGGTTTCCCCATTACAGTGGACCATGCTGGGCTAGGACTTCACCATTTCTTCTAAGATCTTTCCCTTGTCTCCCCTCTGATTGACTGACTTTCTTTGCTCTTCTCATAATGGACTAAATTTAGACCCAGCATAAGCAGCTGCGACTTCAATGCAGTTGCTCCCACCCATGCCAATCCGAGTATGGCCCTATGTCTTGTGTGTTCCCTGCCTCCTTTCTTCTCTCTCTGTATCCTGGAGAAGGCTAAGAAGGGGGGAAAGAGATATAATGGCAGCTAGGAGGAGGTTTAGGGACTAAGGGGACAGAGTTTGCTCTTACTTTGCCTGTGGACTTGACTCCTTTCCAGATGCAGAAGTAGCAGATGACCCAGGCGAGCAGGAGGCAGAGAGCCAGCTCCCAGCGCACAGTGCCCAGATTGTGAATACCGTCTGTGAGCCCCAGGGCTCGCTTCCTGCCAGTGCAGGAGGAGAGAGAAAGGTTAACATCCCAGACTTGACTCTTCCAGCAGCCCCCCGCCCAGAGTTTTCATACACATCCCATAGCGCAGCTGCCCAATCTCCCCCATCACTCCTGCTTCCAGTCACCCTAGCCCTGACAGCAATCCTGTATTCTTGGTCACCACAATGCCTTAGGTGTCTCTGGGATCCCCTCGCAGCCTGGCCCCTGCAGTTCCACCTCACCCTTTAGTCAGCCTGGGCTCTCCAACTCTCCCAAAGCCCTCAATAGCCCCACTGCAGCCCCCAACCATTCACAGCACAGTCACTCCTGATCTCACATCACTGCCATCCCTTTGGCTGCCTCGCAGGCCACACTCCATCAGCAGCCTCCCCTGCACCCCCCGGTATCATCAATGGCTCCTAATCACCTGCTGGCTACTTTGTTTCCTCCAAACACCACATGTTCTATGGCTCTCTCCAGGAAC